GCATAGCTCTCAACGAATGTTGTCCTATAAATAAATGAATAAAGCCGTACATATAAGCTGTTCTGTTTATGATCTGTATAATTGTCCAAAAACTAAGGAAATTATAGCATATTTCACGTAATAGGCATAATTCGATATTACCGGTGTTACCAAATATGGATATGAAAGTATATGAACTTATTATAAACAGACCAACTTATATTATTTCACGAAATATAATAATGAAATTCGTTTGTTTTTACAAGTGCTCTACATTTGCTCTCTAAAATGGCTCTTGATAAAACTGTTTGGAGAAATTCTTCTGCCATAAACTGTTTTATTTTACTTTGATTGGATTTTTTAAATAATTTATGAGAGCGACAACAGCTTTTACAATAACAGGAGCTACGGTGAGAATCTAGAGAGTGACTTGCATGGAGTTGTTGTTTTACTTTTGTGAAAGAGGAAATAGGCTTCGTCAATGTTAATTAGAATATGTTCAACATCAACATACCGCTTTAGGTAAAGTTAAAACTTTTAATGTATATATAATTTAGAGTATATGTTGTATATATTTCAATACTAGACATATTTGATTGTGTATGGAAAGTCCCATCATGTAAACTGCCATCAATTGACCATGTGACGATTACGATCAAAAGCAATAAACAACTTTTGACTCTTGACACGTACTGTACTTCTGGATTACGTACCGGTATGGAAGCATTTTGAGAAAAAATATTTTGACATACATCATGAATTGCCTCTGCAAGATCATTTATTTTTTTTAAAAACAAGACATGAACCGCTTGGTATCTTGGAATTACTTCAGGGTTATTTTCTTCATTTAGTAAAGATAGTCCGCCGTACCATGGTTCTTGCTCTAGAAAATTACTTTTGAAGATATATTTCTAAAGAAATTTTAATTTCGACTATTGTTTACCTATTTTGTAGATTTGAATGACGTTGTGTGAATATACTTCAATACGTTTTAGTTTCACATCGCTGAAAATAGTGCAGATGATTGTTCTGTTGGCGTCAATATTTTATAAAGTTTTATAAAGACAACTAGTCTCTTAACATGTACTCAACCGCAATCTACATCGTCTCTGATTCGCTTCACTGCCAGAAGGCAAAAGGATTGTTTTCTATTTTTATCCTCCATGTTTTCCAAATCTCCAACAGGTCATGAAACAGTTTAGTATTCTTTGAATTAATTCAAGGCTATTTCCTTCATTTAGGTATACATTTACGTAAGCTTTGTACCACAGTGCGATGCACTACAAATACGTTCGGAACATACTTTAAAGTTTGTTCAAATCTTATGTTGCACGATTTTGAATGACTTCATAAATACGTTTTAGATTTACTTCATTGCAAAGAACCGAAATGTTCTTAGTAGGTCTAACCTGGCTCTGTGACGATTATACTATTTTATAACTACTGTATACTGTTTGTTTATTCTGAAATCACATACCGTACATAGCATGCGAGTACTCATAAACGTGTTATTGTCCCATAGTTTTCATTTATCTAGTTGGGGGCCTGAATTTTGTGCAGGTTAATAAGTTGTTTGGAATCGAAGTATGGCGGTTTGAAAGTTGGTGAATTTATATACGTTTCTCGTGGCCTTCATAAAATTACTAAATTTTGGGGTTTAGAGTCGAAATATTGAACCCAAACTTCAAAAATAGTAAGATTAGAGGTAATACTTTATATTTATGACATAATCACATTTTGCTCAAATTACATGTTATACTGTCTATTTGGCCCTTTTTCTCGAAACCGGCGATGCGAGTTTACAGCCCTTTCCATCGTCATTATCATCATTATTAATTTATCATAATTGTTATTGTTTTTGCTATGACTATTAGTTTGTTATGCTGTGGTGTATTTTCCCAACCAGACATCGCACTACCTTAACTAAATATGTTAATATAAACTATAACATTAATGATAATGATATAATAATAATTATAATAATCATGTTTTAAAATCTTGCAAGTTTGTTGATTGTGTTTCCCATGGTTTCCCATGGCCTTCATAAAATTACTAAAGTTTAGGGTTTAGAGTTGAAATATTGAACCCAAACTTCAAAAATAGTAAGATTACAGGTAATACTTTATATTTATGACATAATCACATTTTGCTCAAATTACATGTTATACTGTCTATTTGGCCCTTTTTCTCGAAACCGCGATGCGAGTTTACAGCCCTTTCCATCGCCATTATCATCATTATTAATTTATCATAATAGTTATTGTTTTTGCTATGACTATTAGTTTGTTATGCTGTGGTGTATTTTCCCAACCAGACGTCGCACTACCTTAACTAAATATGTTAATATAAACTATAACATTAATGATAATGATATAATAATGATATAATAATAATAATTATAATAATCATGTTTTAAAATCTTGCAAGTTTGTTGATTGTGTTTCCCATGGTGTTTGTGACAGTATTAAGTTCGCCATTTTTGTTAATGATTTTGAATGGATTTTATTATTTTAACTCTATTTAATTAATTTGTTACTTCTTTTGATGTGATGCATTTTTTATGTGATGCAAATTTTATATTTTATGGATTTTATTGTATGTATACTGGAATGTTTTCTCACAGGGGAGGCGAATAAAATGAAATTGAAATTGAAGTAATAATAATAATAATAATAATAATAATAATAATAATAATAATAATAATACAGTAATAGCATAATAATTATAATAATAATAGCATAATGATAATAACGATAATAATAATAACATAATGATAATAATAATAATAACAATAATAATAATAATAGCATAATAATAATATATATAATATTTAAATATATAATATAATAAATATAATATAT